TACAGTGCTCTGCAAGCGACTTCATATCTACCTTATATGAATTCGCGTTTGTGCTCTTATTTTATATTAGTCTTTCAAAAAAAAAATTCAGTCAGGAGAAACCAGCCATTAAAGCTTGATTATGGCAACTTAACTTAATGGAACGTAGAACTTAGAGAATCAAAATNCGTGTGAATTATATGTGTACATATATAGAATTCTAGATGAACTACATTTTTTAAATTGACTAAATAAAATTTGCTTTAAATCTAATCAATATCCGAATTGTGAAAACTGTCCCATATATGAATTGTGTTACAAATATTCCAATACAAACCTTCTTTATGTACAAAATATGTAGTTATGGTACTGATTGAACAATAATTATGCGCTATTTCTTTTTCGATTGCCATAAAAACTAAGCGCTGGTTTGTCTGGAGTTAAAGTAAGTATTTTTTTTTTCTTTTTTAATAGGTTGGAATTAGTGTTTGGTGTATTTTCAGATGCCTGCAAAGAGAAGTCTGATATGGAGTCATTTCAAAAATGCTGGCTCGAAACGTGCTATGTGCAAACATTGTTCAAAGAAAATAAGTTTCAATGGCGGGTCCCTAGGAAATTTAAGCCGCCACATGAAACTTCGGCATTCTATGATTCGCTGGCATGATACGACTCTTAATGGTAACGGCGAAGGAAACATACCAGAGGATCAATTAGAGCAGGGCGATCAATCAACGCAAAGTGAGCAGCAATTGCAGGCGGAGCAGCTGCTGCAGATGAATAAACGGGTAACTACGAATTATCAAACAAAGAAGCGAAATGATCAAATTCGTTGCCATGTTGTTACAGTGCTCTGCAAGCGACTTCATATCTACCTTATATGAATTCGCGTTTGTGCTCTTATTTTATATTAGTCTTTCAAAAAAAAAATTCAGTCAGGAGAAACCAGCCATTAAAGCTTGATTATGGCAACTTAACTTAATGGAACGTAGAACTTAGAGAATCAAAATGGAACAGATTTCAACGTGGCATTAAGTTACGTTGGGTTTCGGCTGTTCAATTATAAGCAGCACCCATTTAACAGAATTTTTAAGAGAAGGCCGTAAGTTACGTTAAGTTGCCATAATCATACCATTAGAATCCAAAATTAAAATTGAGGTACCCCAGATTCGCTACGGGGACAGGAATAGCAACACATGCACACTTTTTCACTAATACATGCATACTTTTCCAATGGAACAATTTTGAAACGCGCAGTTAGCTATAAAATAACCAAAACTACCGATACCAAATTTGTTTGGCGCAGGTAAAAAATAAAGATATAAGAGGTTTATTTACTTTATTTATATCGGCTGCCTTATACGGTTGACAAACGGGCTCGATTATTTGCATAAACAGCCTTTATTTGCTTTGACTCATGCATTTTCCTCTTTAAAATGCGCATAAGCAGCTGAACAAATGCACGAAATTTTTGGGAATCAACTCGGATCAGGGCAGTTTTCGCTGACAACACTGGTAAAAGGCCAGCTGTTGTCTTTTGTACAAGTAAGCAAACAAAGCGCAAGAGTGACTTACCACGCGGTAGCCGAGTGGTAAGAGTTACGGGCTACAAGCCTGTAGCTGCCAGGTTCGATCCTCGGTTGGAACGATTGCGAATTTTTTTTTTGTTTTTACCTTCCTTTTATTAGCTCGGGATGTAACTATGTAATATTGATGCGCCTAAAAGATGCAGCGATATCTATTCTCAAGTTACATACCTGATGACAGTACGAATGGCAATTATAATAGGGAGGTTTTAGTTTTTTAAACTATAATTTTATTATATTTATTTTATATTTTTTTTATTTTATTTGATCTATATATTTAATTTTACTTTATTTTATTTTCATTTGCTTTATTTTATATCACATATTTTATTTTACTATTAGTTAATTTAAATTTTTAGAGTTGAATTTTAATAAAAAGTCAACAACAAACTGAAAGCAACGAAAAAAAATATAGAACTTATAAAGAAAATAATGAAAACGAAATAAATGAAAATTCAATTGGCCGTAGGACTCGACCCCACGATTTTGCGGCTCGTTTATCTTCAAAAGAGTGACAACTCAAAATAATACGTTTGTCAGAAAATGGGAAAAATTATTTCCTAGCACATGATAATTATATGGGCAAGGGCGACTTTACCTTAGGTTTTTTTTAACAAATTATAACAATAATTTGCTCCAGATTTTGCTGAAAGTTAAATAAATACATGCGTACATTTTTAGCGCATAACCTCAAAAATGCCAAATTTTAAGTTGTGACTCTTTTGAAGACGGTGTACGATATGTATTGTGTGGCTGAAAAAAGTTCATAATACTAGCGGCAGAAATAAAAGAAACGCCTTATTTCAACCAGTTTTGTCTATATTTATCTTCTTTATTTAATATTGAATTTTTTTTTATAAAAGTCTACCTATAAATGCAAAAAAATTGGCCAAAATTTCCAACTTTTTACTCTGCATTTTTAGAAAAATTCGAGGTACGCAGTTTTATAGCCCATTAAATAAAAGTAGGATAAAATGCAAGTTTCATGCAATTACAAAATACCCGTTGATTTTTGGTAATTTTTTAAACGGGATTAACATCCCTAGTACTCATTCTACTCAACTAACTGAGTTTATTGTAGAATGCACCCCATAATACTATATGTACTTAAATGGCATATTTTCAAAAACTTATTTTTTTTATCAAAAAATGTGTATGTGAAAAGATTTTCAAGAAAAAATAATAATGTAAATTTCGCAAAAGGCGATCACATTCTTCCCCTTTCTCCTACTTTCAAAATACAAATCTAGATAAAGGAGTGTAAAATTTTAGCTGTCATAAATTACATAACCTTGTATTATTAGTTGCGTTCCCTAACTCACAAGAAGTTGCAAGACTACAGGAATTTACCAGAAAGCGTTCCCGCACTCGGTTCAATTTTTGCTGGTAAAATCTAGTTAGTAAAGTGTCAAACCATCAGCTGTTCAAATGATTTCAAATTTGAATGAGCGTAAACAAAATTGCATAGAGGATGATTCCGTGCGCAGAACGTCCGGATATTTATATTCACGTATCCTCTGGGTATCATTCAAACTCCCGTTTGGGAGCGAGCTAAGGTGAGAAGGCGTAAAACTTCGCGTGCGCTGGGTTAGGGTCCCGCCACGTGAAAAACCCCGCCCAATGAAAAAGTTCAACAAGCCCCCTTTTTTGATGACGACCGCGGCAAACGTATAAAGGACTATGATTTGAGGGGATGCACCTAGAATATCTGGACCCTTAATAGGGGCGGTGCCTCTGCCCGGCTGGTTGATGTCCTCGGGAAGACAAAGGCTGACATCACCGGCATCCAAGAAATGTGATGGAGGGGGCAAGGAAAAGTAAGTGGGAAACCTTGCGACGTCTACTGCAGTTGCCACGTAAAAGTGCGCAAATTCGGTGTTGGATTCGTGGTAGGGGAGAGACTCCGTCGCCGAGTACTGGCGTTCATCCCGGTGGATTGGTCTAGCCACAATCCGCATCAAAGCGAGATTTTTCAACATCTCGCTGATCTGCGCCCATGCCCCGACGGAAGAGAAGGACAAGAAGTCCAAGGATCTCTTCTATGAGCGCTTGGAGCGTACATATGAGCGCTGCCCCCGACACGATTTTAAAATCGTGCTCGGCGGTGTTAATGCCAAGGTGGGCAAGGAATGGATCTTTGGCGCCACTGTCTGAAAATACAGCTTCCACGACGAAACGTCCGATAACGAACTGAGGCTGATCGACTTCGCCGGGCCCCGAAACATGGTAATATGTAGTACTAGGTTCCAGCATAAGAACATCCACCAAGCTACATGGCTGTCTCCAGATCGAAAAACGTGATAGACGGAGGGCATGCTTCAAGCGCTTTAGACCTACGTACACTCCGAGGGCCAAACATCGACTCGGACCATTATCTTGTTGTAGCCAAGATACGCACCCGCTTTTGTGCAGCAAAAAATGTGCGCCCAACAATGTAAGGAAAGCTTAACGTCGAAAAGCTGTAATCACAACAGACGGCCAATTTATTCGCCACTCGACTTACACCTGGACTCGAATCGTCACATACATACGATATCGTACTACTCGTCACGTAAAAACACATTTTTCGGATTANTTTTGTGCAGCAAAAAATGTGCGCCCAACAATGTAAGGAAAGCTTAACGTCGAAAAGCTGTAATCACAACAGACGGCCAATTTATTCGCCACTCGACTTACACCTGGACTCGAATCGTCACATACATACGATATCGTACTACTCGTCACGTAAAAACACATTTTTCGGATTATACATACAAATAGCGACAAAATCAAATAAATTCGTCTTAGGTTGTGTTCTTCTTCTTTATTGGCGCTGTAATCGACTGGCGATTTTGGCCGAGTACAAAACAGCACGCTTGTCATTTCTCTTCTGTGCCAACTGACGTCAATTGGAAATGGCAAGTGAGGCCAAATCCTTCTCCACCCAGTCTTTCCAACGCAGAGGAGGCCTTCCTCTTCCTCTGTTACCAGCATCGCGGCCCGCGTTGAATACTTTCAGAGCAGGAGCGTTTCTGTCCATTCAAACGACACGGCCAAGCCATCGCAGCCGTTGTATTTTGATTCGCTGCACTATGTCTATATCGTTGTAAAGCTCATACAGCTCATCGTTAAATCGCCCGCGGTATTCGCCATCGCCAACGCGTAATGACCCGTAAATCTTTCGCAAAATTTTCTCTCGAAAACTCCAAGAGCAGCTTCATAAGATGTTTTCATTGTCCATGTCGCTGCGCTAAGTAAGCTGCTATAGTTTGGTGGTAGAAATATTTATTTTGTTTCGATTTCACACATTCCTACTCAACCAGCTGATTTCGAAGATGTTTTCGCTCTTCCTCTTCTTCTTTCGATTCGATCGTAACTCAGAATACCAAATTACGATTGTTGCGGAGCGGAATGCGGGAACGTAATCGAAATGCAGAATAGGGTTTAATTTTGTTGTCTTTGTTGATTATTTAGAAGAACTTACCTTGTCTTATACTACTACTCTACTCAGCGATGACACTTTCGCATTGGCAATGAGGAATTTGGGGTTGGTTTCCGTCAACTGCTCGATTCTCACTCACTTTACAAATACCAATAGCTCGCTACTTGATGTCTCTTTTGTAAATAATAAGAACAAAGCAGAGACCATAACGATTATAAGAAATAAAATTAAATATTGCTCTATGATTATTACTGAACAATGGAAAAGTTGTTTTCATCTCTCGGGGCGTTTATTTCAAGGCGAATATTATTTACGTCTTCTCATTATAATTATATGGGATTATTATTTTTTTTTTTCGTCTCGCGGGACGTTTATTGCAAGACGAATATTATTTACGTCTTCTCATAATAATTATATGGGCTTTTTATTTTTTTTTCGTCTCTCGGGACGTTTATTTCAAGACGAATATTATTTACGTCTTCTCATAAAAATCATATGAGATTTTTATTGAATTAAAACTTCTTTATCGAGTTCAGAGTTTTAGGACCGTTAACTTATCTATTTTCAAGTAATTATATGGAATTTTCTGTAGTTAAATGAAATAAATAAATAAACTATAGCTTAACACAGATACGTTAACGGCCCTTAAAGCGTTAAATATATTTATATTTGTAGTCAAAAGATTGGTACAATACAGCGATGTTTTATTGAAAAATTTCAACAAACTAATTTTCGTGATTGGCATAAAGAAAAATATTTGGGTATTCACACAATTGGGATACGATTTGCACCAAATTTTGGCAAATATCCAATCGTCTGACACTGCCTTTAAAATTGTATTTATACGGATGTTGTTAAAGAATCGACTATAAAGAACTAACCAAAATTAAATAACAAAAATAATATTTTAAAACTTGTGAAAGTTTGGTGCGGCTATAATTTTTTCGACTACTGCACAATGTANATGTTGTTAAAGAATCGACTATAAAGAACTAACCAAAATTAAATAACAAAAATAATATTTTAAAACTTGTGAAAGTTTGGTGCGGCTATAATTTTTTCGACTACTGTACAATGTACAAAAAAAAAATTGCGGGTTTTCCGGCGGGATTATCAAACCTTGTATATTTTAAGACTAATAATAAGCTTTACGTGAGCTGGACCGGTTTGAAAATACCTCTAAAAATGGAATTTTTTATGAATAAAAATAGTTTCTTAAAGGATTTTTTGGAAAAAATCCTCCCAGATGACAAAATAGTTTAAGCTTAAAAAATCTACATAAAAATATTAAAAAATTGTACCAACGGAATCATAATAATAAGAATTTGATGCTGTTTTTTAACTTTTTTCAGAGGTTTGGGTAACTGCTCCAACACTTTACCGATATAGACTTATGAGGTATCAGTGGAAAGATATTTTCTCACATGTTTTATTTCTTTGCAAAACAAACTTAATATGTAGGTACATTTACATATTTTACACTTTTAACATAAATGTCAAGGCAGATATTTTTAGATACACTTCTTAACAAACAAATTTTTTTAAGTTATTATGAATGGATAAAAGAGACATCTTCTTTGAATTCAGTACTAAAACTTGACATTTTGAGTGCTTATCAAAACTTTATACATGTTAACTAGATTCGCCATTTATCTTAAAATTATAAAATTTTAATTATTTGTTTATAAAAATGCAGTTTACACCTTAACAAAACACGTATAAATCCAAAGTTTAATCTTTGCGCAACATTAAAAAAATCAACAAACTTCCGTAAAGCTTTTTAATTAGATTTCCTAGAAATACATATTTTGAGTATGCAG